ATCTAAACCTGACTGCCTCTGTTAGAAATCTTATAATGGGCCATGGTTGGATCGTCCATCAGAACAATGATCCAAAACAAACATCAAAATCAACACAAAAATGTGTCACTGAGCACAAAATGAAGCTTCTGGCTGTCCAAGTTCCCTGACCCTGAAATTAGTGGGGAGAACTGAAGAGAAGAAGCTGTGAATCTGAAAGATCTGGAGAGATTCTGTGTGAAGGAATGGTCTCTGATCTCTTGTCAGGTGTTCTCCAAACTCATCAGACATTACACGAGAAAACTCAGAGCTGTTATCTTGGGAAAAGAATGTTGCAATAATTTGGTGCCAATAATTGTGGCCAACGTGAGCTAGAGAAAAACATTTATTTCATAATGAGACCCCCCCCCACACTTTCAGTTGTTTTACTTCAATGAAAGGTTAGACATTTGTACATTTTTTGGTATGAAAAATCAAACAGTTAAACATTGTAGATTTATTTTCACAGCCGCTCATATTGCTTTGCTCATATTTACCAAGGGTGCCAATAGTGGAGGGAACTGTTTATTTAAATTTTTATATTTAGATTTTATTTATTGATTTTTTAAATTTTTGTTTATTTATTGATTGATTTTTTTCATTTTGGATCAAGATTCATTTGATTATTAGATTAGATTATTATGTATACTCTGTACAAAATGATACTTTGTACTTTATTTTTGATACTCTGAAAAATGATACTTTGGAAAAATATTTGTCACAGACAAATATATTAGTTTTTCTCAAATTATATTCATGGTTGTGGGTCAAACCTCACATTTTTTACTTAATATTAGAAAAAAATTATATATTTATATTATTTTTTTTTTCACTTAGTTTATAACTAACAACATTTTGTTAGTCAGTGTTTAATTTAGTTTACTTACTGTAAATAAATCTTTATCCTGATGTCTTTTTAAAATATGCATTATATTTTATGTTATTTACTAAAAACTCTATAAAACTCTATACTAAAAATGAACAAAATCCACAAAAATTTCTGCAGTCATTAAAGCTTGCCAAAATGTGTTCTGCACATCAACACTGTTTTATTTATTTATTTATTTTGGCAAGCAAAGTACGAAGAACAGACAAGAAGTGAAGTGGAAGAAACAAAATGGTTTCTTTTAAATTTTTTTATGGGGAGAGTAAGTTGCTTTCAGAAAAACTAAACTAAATAGGTTTAAACAAGAAACCATGATTTTTGGCTATACTCTATATAAAAATGCACTTATAAATGACATAGATGTTTAGCCTTTTTCGAGTGTAGGCGGCTCTAATTTCAGATATTTTCATTTATCATTTACCTTCATACATGTTAACATTTTCTTGATCTTAATAGGGAAAATATGCAAAGTTTAAGCAGTACATGGCCCACAGTACCCATGTGACTAATGTGCGCTGGTCGCATGACGACTCTTTTCTGGCGTCAGTCGGTGGCTCCGACACCTGTCTGATGATCTGGAGCCATGAGACCGAGGGCCGCCGAGAGGCCAGACAGTGTGACAGCGAGGAGTCAGACATCGAGAGCGAAGATGATGGAGGTGAAAAAGATCAGTTATAAAGAACAGTTATTACTGTCATCTAGATTGAAAGAGGGTAGCCATCCATCATATGATAAAATGTTCATTTAAATGCGCATGTCATGATATAAAAGTGAGGCGTCTCTCCATCTGTGTAGGGTATGACAGCGATGTAACTCGGGAGAATGAGATCATCTATGTAATCAAGGCCTTATCCACAAACGTGCGACCCATGACGGGGGTCAAACCCCACTTACAACAGAAGGAGCCGTCGGTAGACGAAAGGTAAGTTAGGAATGACAGCCAATGTGGCGTCAATGTTCATAGCAACCCTGTGTACAGTTCTCAGATATATACGTGACAGTAAGTAGGTTCAGAATTATGTAAAAACCTCGGCTGCAGCATGGATTGCTTTTCTTTTTTCATGACCTAATCTTTCTTTGGCAGCTTAATGAATCTAACAGGGTTTAAATAAGTACAGTATTTATAGATATATTTGATATATTTTGAAGGATGTAATATATGTATTTACACCATATTAGTTATCGGCTGATGTTAGTGATTTAATTGATTGGTATCAGTCAATATTGGATATTTATGCATGGCCATTTCCCCATTTTTGATCATCTAGCACCCACTTAAAGTTTATCTTTAATAACATTTATTAATGTAATAGCACTAATAAATTCAATTATATTTAATAGTCATAACCAAATGTTAAAAGGAAATTATATCTTTCATACTTTCAGTTATTAGGTTGTGATAACATTTAAATGTAACTTTTGTTTAATTTTTTTCTCATCTTATTTATAGTATTTTTTATTTTTATGTATTAGGTCACACGTTAATTTATGGTCCAATTCTCGCTATTAAAAAACCAGTAACTAAGACTTTTGCCTCAATAAACTCCTAATTTGCTGTTAGTTAGGTAGTTAACTTTTGATATTGGGTAGGATTAGGGATGCTGGATATGGTTATGCAGAATATTTGCTTTATAAGTGCTAATAATCAGCCAATATGTTAATAAAAGGCCTGCTAATAAACAACTAGTAAATAGTTAGAATTGGTCCTTATACTAAAGTGTTACCATGTATTATATATTTATTTTATTTATATTTTACTAGTACAAATTAGCCTGCATTACCAATAAAATTAGAATTAAAATGACCAGTAAATTAGATTTTGAAATGCAGTAACCCTGTCAGCGATGTAACATGAAGAACTGAATACTCTTAGTTATCCACTTTATTGCTTCTCTAAACTCTTGTATATCAAATTCACCACCACTCTACCACTAGTATACCATGCTGAATAAGCTCATGTTGGTGGCACACTCTCTAAAGCCAAACGATTTACTGCTACTGTTGGAATACCAAACTATCTTTCCAAAGTGGAATATCAAACTGTCTTTCACAGGAAGGTTCCTGATTAAATAAGTTTATCTCTCTTTTTTTTAACCATAGAAAATAATTTTGAATTGCTTGTTGAATATTGCATTAACAATAAAGCACTTACAATGGAGGTCTATGGGCATTACCCTGTGATTAGAATACATTCTGTTTCAAAGGTAAAACCAGGCCCGTAGACAGCTATGAAGTCACAGAGGTTCGGACCTCTGTAAATTGTTCATGTTCAAAAATAAAATTTGTTCTCTGAATGACTAGTATGCTGTGAAAAACTCCTCATAGGAGTGTCTGCAAGTTTAGACAGTTTGCAAGAATGTTCGTAGTATGAAAATGATCGCTGTGAGACGCTGGCAGAGAGAACGAGTCTTGAGAGAGTTGTGAGCGAGGGCGCGGACGGTGTTGCCAGATCCAGCTATTATAAGTGTTTTTGGACTTGTCTTTTTCACTTAAGTTGCCGTTTAGGGTCAGTGATATCTTTATCTTATCTTATTTCCAAGGATTTTAAATAATTTCTTTGTTTTTATTTATTTTTCGGTTTTTATTCGTTTTATAGCAATATCTGGCAACACTGCATTGCCTGCACTTAAAGGGTTAGTTCACCCAAAAATGAAAATTAGCCCATAAATTACTCACCCTCAAGTCATCCTAGGTGTATATGACTTTCTTCTTTCAGACGAATCCAGTCGGAGTTACATTAAAAATTGTCTTTGATCTTTCAAGCTGTTTCATGGCACTCAAGCGGGTGCTGCATGCTTCAGTCCAAAACAAGTTCAATAAAAAGCGCCCATCCATTAAAAAAAAGTGTCTCACACGGCTCCGGGGGGTGAACAAAGGCCTTCTGTAGCGAACCGATGCGTTTTTGTAAGAAAAATATCCATATTCAAAACGTAATAATCACTTTAATGTAGCTTGCACGGAAGCAGTTCCGGGCGGATGACTTAAGAAGTCGGCGTTGCGCATGCGCCGCTCAGAAGTGACGAACGCGGAAGCGCAGCGGAGAGATCAAAACAAAACAACGGTCAAGAATTAGAAGTACAAAACGAGGATTTGTAAAGAAGAATGTCAGAGGATTTCGATATAAGCCAAGAGGAGACTGGTTGTCCTTTGCTAAAGTAAGGAAACTTTGCTTCCTTTGCTCCTATAAACAAACTCGCGAGACTAGCATACCTCAGAGG